GGGGGAGGGAGGCTGGGGTGGAATCAAAGGAGCGCTGAACTTGGAGTCCAAAGCCGTGGCTTCAGGTACCAGCTCTGCCACCTGCTAGCTGGTATGCCCTCAGGCCAGGCGCTTCGCTCCTGAGCCTCAGTTTTTCTGCTGCAAAATGGGTCCCGATCTGGCCCTGCTCTCCCTGAATGACCCTGTGAGGCACAGTGGCACAGCAGATGGAAGAGGGCTCTGTCCCTGGAAGGCCAGCTGTGGACGGAAGGGGAGGGGAAGGTCCTGAGAGCAGGCCTGAGGCGGGTGGGGTGAGAATGGGGAGAATGAAGGATGGTGGGGAGTCAGGGTACCTGCCAGACCTTGGCTCTCTGCACTCCCTGCCCTTCCAGGCCCCCAGAGAGCAGCTAAGTATATCCCCTATCTCAGGGCCAAGGTTTCCCCAACACCCCTCCCCGTAATCCCCAAAGGTGACCCTCCCTCTGAGGGTGGGGTTGGGGGGGAGGTGTTCTGGTCCCCTCTGGTCTATTTTCCCTGAGCTGGGGGAGCTCTTGGTAGGCTCTCAGGGTAAACAGCCCCATCACACCCATCTTACCAATGTCTGACCCCGGGTCCTCCCCAGGCCTGGGGGCTGGGGGGGTGGGTGAGGCCCCCCCAAGAGCCCCCCGATTCTAGTCTGTGGCGCCTGTCTCCCCCACCCCGCTGAGGTCTGTACATGCTACCGAGGAGCAGTCAGGGGCATGGGGGGGGCGCCTGGCAGCAGTGCAGGGCGGGGGCGGAGGTGGGCTGGCCCGGCTGCGGGGTTACCTTCTTGGTGCACTGTCTAACGGTGCTGATTAGCTCCGAGATAACCATGTCCACACACTTGAGACACGGTTCTCGGATCTTCTTCACCTGCTTTTTCACAATGGTCTCAAAGGCCATGTCTGGGGTAAAGAGCCCCGTTCTGAACGCCCGGAGCGGGAGAAGGGCACAGTGTCACAGGCCAGCTCCTGCCAGGAGTGCCAGGCCAGGGCCCTGCCCCAACCCCCGAGCTCTGCCCTTGAGGTCCTCCCACTACCCAGCGTGGGCTCCCGTGTCTCCATCTGGAATGGGTGGGAGGGTTCTAAGGAAGGACATGCACTGGACGCTGCCTGGGGCAAGACTCGTGTATGTCCTGCTTCCTCTATTCATAAAGAAGTTTCTAGAACCAGAAATGGGTTGAAAATTGCCCAAACTGGCTTCTCTGTAAGAGCCTTTCCTGGAACAATGCACTGTGTTTTAAGACTGGGAGAGAGCTATTTTCCCCTGCACCTCGGCCAAAGCAGTTATCAGTCCGTAAATGCCACTAAACCTTGGAATGGAATCTGCCTGAGAGGGGGCCTTGTGGTCCTGCTCAGTGCCTGGCACATGGCAGGGGCCGACTTTCCTCGTGGAATGAGTCCAGTAGAGATCTGGGTTCTGGAAGTGGCCTAAGCCTTTAAGGGCGGTCTGTTTTCCAGTCCGCCTTCCTGCTCCATCTGCCCTGGGTCTGCTAGGAGGGAAGTGGGCGGGTGGGACTGGGGAGCTCTGGAGCATAAAAGGGCACAGGCCTGTCAGTCATAAAAGGGCACAGGCCTGTCTGTCATAAAAGGGCACAGGCCAGCCCCTTGCAGCACAGGCCCAGGCCTGGCCCAATGGCTACCTGGGCAGGACTGAGGGAGCTCTCTCACCCTGGGCATGGGCAGGGGGCTCTTCCCAGCTGTCCAGCCTCCAAGCCCTGTCCCAGGGACAGCAAAGGAGGGCACCACCGCCCCCAGCCAGAGCCTGTAGGACTGGCAGCCGGGAAGTCAGCGTTGATGACATTGGAGACAGGCTCTTGTCATTCCTTCATCACAGCTTGTACCTCTGGCCTAGGCCCCCCCTGCCTTCCAGGGTTCAAGTCCCTCTCCCGGGCCCCAATACATGCCTAATGCCATGGATATTCTTGATGGCGTAGCTGATCTCTTTTCGGAGTTCCTTCTCATCAAACTCCATCTGTGCAAGAGAGCAAGAGACGGCTGATCAGGGCCTGCCACAGGCACGGGCCTGCCCCACTCCCAGGCCAACTCCAGCCTCTTGTGGGATCACCAAGGGTATGAGCGGGAGTCCTGGTAGCCCAGGCTCCTGGCCTGGGAGACTCCCCTACCTTGACCAGCTCGAAGGGGAAGCGCTCGTGGAAGATGCGGTTGATACGGGCTCCCCCAGACAGTTCGTAAGTGTCAATCTGGTCCCCTGAGCCCTCGATGCGTTTCTCAAAGTCCACAGCGAACTGCTGGACCATCCTGGGGGAAGAGCGGTGAGCTGCGGGTGACGTGGCAGGGCGGGCAGCCCAGGAGACCCCTGTGCTGAGGCTGGGGAGAGGGTGCTGGGGGCCAGGGGAGAGCCTCACTGCAGCAGGGCCTTGGTCTTGCGCGATGGGTCGTCAGGACGGAAGTTCTTGTACTCGTCCACCTCCTTCTCAATGGACAGCAGCTGGCTCTGTAGCTTGTTCCGCAGCCCTGGCAGTGTGTCCCGGATGTGGTTGGTCAGTTGCTGGGGGTGGGAGTGAGACAAGGCCACAGTCACAAACCCAGATGCCCACAGGGCGGGGCAGGGACCAGGAGGCTGGAGGACTGTGGGAATATGCTGTGATCAGAGCTACCGAGGGCAGCCATGGCCCTGCCCACTGCTGCCCAGCCTGCTGAAAGAAAGCTGCCTGGGGCAGGGCTGGCATCCAGTAGGTGTATTAACGGAATCAGTGAGTAAGTCGATTTCAACAGAAGCCGGAAATCCAGATTTTCATTTGAAATTCCCGGACCTTTGACTAACTTAATATTTGTGGATTCCATGGGGGCCAAATGAAATGATTCAGGGGCAGAGATAACTGCAGAGTGGAGGGATTCTCCGGTACTGGGGCTCACCTGTCTACATCCTCACACAGACTCGGAAGTACCTGGGATCACCTGCCCCCATCCGAGATCAGCCTCACCCAATTTTGGAACCAAGTGCACTCCAGTCCTGGCCCCAAACCCAAACCTCGTCAGAGCTGCCCTCCTCTCCGCGTGACGGACCTCCCAGGCGGGGCAGGGTCAGCAGAGCTCCCAGGCGGGGCAGGGTCAGCAGAGCTCAGCTGCTACCTCAGGCTGTGTCTGAGGGTCTCACTTTGTCCACCTGCACAAGGGGCACCCTACCTCTGCCGGTCACCCTCACGAAGTATACTTAAATGGTTCTGCTCTCATCTGGCTTCCCCCCAACCCCCAGCCGGCCTCCTCCCACATCCCTACCTGGTTGAGGACCTTCTGCAGGTAAGGTGTGCCCATGCGGTCCGCCAGGTGGCGGTAGGAGGGGTGGGAGAGGAAGAACTTGCGTTCAGCAGCCAGGGCGGCTGTGATGTCCTTTTTGCCGTCGATGTCCTTCTGGCTCCGGTTCACCACCCCAATGTAGCCTGCGGAGGGGGTCGAGGTCAGGGCAGCAGGCTGCGGGGCGGGGTGGGGGGAGGGCAGTGGGGTCAGGAGTGGTCTGCTCACCTCTGCGCAGGGGGAGCAGCTTGTTCTCCAGCACATCTCGGGCATCGGTGCCCTCGTCCATCAGGTCCAGCTTGGTGATGACCCCAATGGTGCGCTGACCTGGTGGAGAGCAAGGAAGGTGACATCTACACTCACCCTCACACCGGAGACCCCAGGAGCTTCCACCCAACCTGCTCCCGCCCTGCCCGCTCCCTCTCTCACCCCCCACCCCCGCCCTTCCCCCTAGTCACTGTCCAGAGTGGCCTGGTCCCACCACTACTGGCTTAAACTCTCCAGGGGCTCCTTCTACACTGAGCGTGACTTCCCCGGCCTTGTGTTTCCCATTCCCGGGTGGAATCTACCCTGGGGGTCCACCTCCTTGGCGATCTTGAGGGCATCAGAGTTGGCCAGGTCGGAGTTGGCGGGGGACACAGCCAAAATGAGGCAGTTCTCCTTGGTGACGAACTGCATCAGCATGTCCCGTATCTGGAACTCGATGTCGGCAGGTTGGTCCCCCACAGGGACCTTGGTCATTCCGGGAAGGTCCACGAGGGTCAAGTTCAGCACTGGACAAAGGTGAGAGGGGGCAGGCTCAAGGCGAGGGGCGTGGCGCTGGGGGTGGGGGTGGGAAATCAGGGCCCGGGGCTGGGCTTCAAGAGCATCCTCAAGGGAGTGGCCAGAGGTGGGCGGGTTTGGGGAAAAGCCTGAACGGCCAAGGGAGGCGGAGTCATCGCGGGGCGGGGCTTGGGCAGGAGGGGGAAGAGGACCCGCTCTGCGGGGGCGGAGCCTCGGGGCGGGGCGGGGCTAGGTGAGAGAACCCAGCGGTGGGGGCGGGGCCTGGTGTTCTCACCGTGGGGCGAGTAGACGCGGAGGTTGATGGGAACAGGCGAGATGCCCTTGTTGGTGCCAGTGACCCTGTCGGTCTCAGCCTCGATCTCCAGACGCACCTCCTCAAAATCAGTGAATTTCTTCCCCTTGCAATGCAGGAACTCAGCATATTCTGCGGGCAAAGTAGCCATTACAGTCTAGAACCCCCGTGGATCCCCTCTCCAGCTGGGAATCGATCAAGGCAAGGGGCCTCCCTTCCACACACACCTGAACACTGCCTCTCCTACCTCCCCCACAAACGCCACGTCTCTGTCTTGCATTTTTATCCCCGCTGTCCAGATTGGGAATCCAGGGCTAAAGTCACACAGCAAACCAGAACCAGGAAGGCTGGCTCTTCCTGGGCAGGGTTGAGGGGGACCGTACGTACCTGTGGTGGCATTGACCAGCTGCAGGACCAGGGGGCGGCGGGTGACAATGCCAGATCCTCGGGGCAGGAAGTCCCTGCAGTGAGTTGGGGGTGGGAGGAAGATCAGGTCTGAGGAGGTTGAAGGGAACCGGCTCCCACTGCCCCAGGGGTACCTGGCCCTGGAGTTCCGGAGCCCCCCAAATGTGCCTCGACATTCCTTAACCCAAGAGTTTCAGGACCATAAGGGGAGGTGGCAGCTGAGAAAGGCAGGAAGCACCTCCTCCAAGTGCCCCTGGAGACGAGACCAACATCCCCAGCCCCCTTTCAGGCGAGCCTGTGTGGCTTCTGAGTCAACAGGTAGTCTCTGCTTCAGTGGAGCTTCTCCGCTGAGCTCAGGAGAAACTGAGGCACAGGGTGTCCCCCATGCCCAAGTGTCCTGTGGCTACAAAGTGGGTCCCAAGGAAACAGAACTGCACTTCCTCCCTCCCTTCCGCTGTGGGGAAGGGCGGCATCTCACTTCCCCTTCCCTGTGCCCCATCTGGCTGTGGTTGAGGACAAAGGAGCTCGGGAGGCAGAAGGCCGCTCGGAACAGAAGTCGCGATTCCGAAAGGCCCAATGGGTGGCTCTGCGGGCAACACTCGGGGACTCTGCAAAAGCCCCGTGATTAGCCCCATTTTACAGGTGAAGAAACTGAGGCTCAGAGCTGTTCAGGTTGCACAATCAGAGCCTAGCAGCGCTAGCCTGGGGCCCAGAGATGTCTGACTCTTCCTTGAAAGTCCACACCTCAGCATCTGCTCACACCAACGCCAACCTCAGCAGTCCTTTCGGCTAACTCTAAAGCGCCATTCTTGAGGACAAGGAGACTTGGGGTTGACTCTTGTCAGCCAGTCTCTTCCCCCACCCAGCCTGATGGAGGCCTCTTCAGGGACTCCAAGTCACGGGAGCCCCAGAACCCAGGAAAGAAGGAAGAGGCCAGAGCCTGGGGGCCATAGAAACCTGGCCTGCCCTTTATTTGTAGAGAGGCCCGTGGGGGCCCCATGAAACACCCAGGGCTGGGACAGAGCCGGAGCTCCAGACCAGGCTGGACGGGAATCAGTCTCCTGCACCCTGTCGGGGCCCCTGAGGACAACAGAGAAGGTCTAGGCTCCCGAGTCAAGGTCCCCTCCCGCCCTCCCCTGTCCTGCCTCCCCATCTCCAGGGAGAGCCTTGCTAAATGGGGAGGAGTCAACCACTTGAATGGGGAAGGAAACTGATGGTAAATCCTGTGTTCTTCGTCATTTCGAGGTGCCAGGCAAGCACTTTTCATTTTTGCAAGACAGCTTCCCAAGGGCTGCTGGCATCTTCCGGCCCCTCACAGGGCTCCAGCGCCCACAGCAGAGGTACTTCTTAAACGCTGCCTGACTCCTCACCACCGCCAAAGGTGCTCTGAAATGGAAATTACCATTTCACAGGTGAGGCACCTGAGGCTCGGAGGCGAACCCACTAGGACGCGGTCACCTGGTCAGGGACAGGGACAGCAGAGCTAGGTTGCAACTGGGTTGCCAGACTCTGTTGCACACCTCAGCCTGGAATTTTCCCGTCAAACTCTGCTGCCCCCTAAGCCAGACGGGGTTTTTTTACGTAACTCGACTGAATTCCGTCTAGGACTTTCTCTGGAGCAGCTGCTCCGTGGCTGGCCCTGTGCTGGGCCCTGGGGAAGGGAGAGGATGAGTCAGCGGCTCCCCACCCGAGGGGCTCGCAGTGTGGAAGAAGACAGACGCGTAAACAGATAACGCCACGCAGTGTGACATGTACCAGAACGGAGGCACCCGGCAGCACAGAGAGGGTGACTCACTGGGGGCCCCGGCCTCCTCTCTCTCCTGTCCTTGAGTCACTGACTCCTTGGGGAGGTGACCCCCTAGGTTAGGGGACCCCAGGGCTGCGGCGATAGGACATGTGTTTTCACAGCGGTGGGCCGGGGGTCCTGGGGTCCAGCCTCTTCCCCACCAACTCCTCACCCAGCAGTACCATGGCAACTGTAGATGCCCCGGCAACCGCAGGAGGGGCTGGGAAGCCGGGACTCCCCACAGAGAGCCCCCCACGCAGAGACATGGACCTTTCCTAGAACTTTCCTGCGGGGCCTCCCGCGGCACAGATGGCCCCACTCGGCCCTGGCAGGCCCGAGGGGTGCACAGAGGGTGCGGGGAGCCCAGGGCCCAGCTGGAGGGGTGGCCAGGGTTCTGGCCATCCTGCCCCAGCTCACTGCCTCCCCAGTCTACTGCACGGATAAGCAGCTCACTGGAAGTGGCAGTCAGAAGGCAGGGCCACGTTGGGGCCTCACTTTGAGAACCTGGCCATGGGAGAGATGAGAGGTGGGGCGTTTCCTCTCCCCAGGCCAGGGCTGCGTCAGCCACCCTGGGCAGTGGCTTAAAATGCGCGTTCCTCAGGCATTCTAACATGGCTGGAGTCTTGGGGGACAGGGCGGGGAGGAGGGAGCCTGCATATTAAGCACAGCTGTGATTTTCATGTTCCCTTTCGAGTCTCAGGATTGCTGACGTAGTGCTTAGGAGCCAGTGCCCGTCAGGGGCCCGTTCCACCCTCCTCGGCCACTCCGTGGGATTGTGTCCTGCCCTGGACCTCACGGTTCTCAGCCGCAAACTGGCATCGCATAGCCGTGTGTGTGTGAGCGTGTGCGAGAGAATGTGGATACGTGTGGCTGCAGAGGTCTCAGAGCCTTTGCAGAAAGAGCCTAGCCTGTGCCCGCACGTAGTAGGCGCTCAGCAGCCGAGGGGCATCTCCGCAGACTCGAGCAAGGACGTTGCACAACCCTCTGGGCTGAGCTGGATCTGGCATTCCGACCCCAAGACGCCGGATGGAAGTCACTGTCCCGGGGTGGGACAGAGGCTCAGAGAGGGGCAGGGGGCTGTGAGGTCACACAGCGAAGGAGAGGAGGCCAAGGGGGACCAGGACCCGGAGTGTGCTGTCTGGCCCCGAGACCACTCGGGCAGCAGCCCAAGCCCTGTGGCGCCCAAGTCAGACTATGCGATTCGCCCCCGCCGGCTTCCCGTGCCGGCACGGCCTGGCACACAGTAGGTGCTCAGGCAGCGCTCCAAGGAGTGAGTAGGGCCCAGTCTCAGTGGGTTCCTTGCACCTGGACACACTGCCCACAGTCCCTGCCCAAGCGGCCGTGGCACCTCCCCAGTGGGGATTCGGTCCCACCCGCCTCCAGCCAGTGCCCCTTCCTATAGCTCCTACCCACCCCCACAGCGCCTCTTTAGGCGGAGGGAGGACAGAACAGATGCCCAGAGGAAAGCGCTGGGCCCACCAGGCTCGGTGGCTGTGTGGGAGGGCTGCGCAGAGCCGTGCCAGCGCTCCCGACTGGTTCTGGGCAGATGGTGGTTTCCCGGGGAGGCCTCGCATGCCATCTGCAGAGGCACCTTCAAACCTGAAGCACAGGAGGGTAAAATAAACACCTCAGGGCCTCCCACAGGCACATACTCCCTGATGGAATTGCTGTTGTCAACCCCAGAGAAGCCTGGAGAGGGCAGTGACCCCGCTCGGACTTGAGAAGCTGCGACCTGGGCTCAGAGCTCAGGGGCTCCGACCCAGGCCCCACGGAATGCACATGGCAGGGCCAGAGGTGGTCACCCTCTGGGCTTCCTGGTTTCCGGGCTCTGATGTCAGACAGGTCCCATGTTGAATGTCAGGGCTATGTGGCTGTGGACAAATGACCAGACCTCTCTGTGCCTCAATTTCCACATCAGGAAAATGGGTGACAGGGAGGCTTGTGTCAGTTAATGCCTGAACAAAGCATAGCTGTCAGGATTACAAATAAACTGTGGAACAAGCTGAGAATACCACGAGGCTGCCATCACCCAAGGGTGCAGCAGGGAAAAGACTAGAAGTGGGACCCCTGCGGCTGGCCAGGCCGGTGGGTAGGTGAGCCGGGCTATTTCCAGCCAGATCTTGCCTCTGCAGGCAGAAGGCGAGGGGGCTGAGGGCTCAGACAGCCAGGAGCTGGGCGGGGCAAGTGGGTGGGCCAAGAAATAGTTGGGAGGAGGCGAGGCTGGCGCCAGGCAACAAGTCCCTCTCTGTTCCTGCAGCCCCGGGAGGCCTGAGGTGCCCCACTCACACAGCCCGGGAATTTCCAGCTGAGGTTGAGCATTTCAGTGCAATCCCATCTCGCCTCCCCTGAGGTTCTGAGGTTCTGAGAGCCGCAGCTGGGCTGTACTCCGGGCTCTCAGCACCCAGCATGAACGTGGCGTGAGGTGGACACCTCGATACCCATTGACAGAAAGGATGATTCTCCCGCCATCACCAGCACCAGCACCCTCATCCCAGACATGGTCCCCAAGGTGCAAAAAGCGGGGGGTGGGGGGGTGGTCTTGCCCATGATGACAATGTGCCAAGTTGGTGACGGGTGGACAGGGACAGGACCCGGAGTGGAAGTGCAGGCTTGCACTAGTCACGGCCCTAGGAAGTCCATGATTTCCTTCCTCTCATCCTTCCATCCTTCCTACCTTGTTCTCTGCCTCCCCCCCCCCCAAGTGTTGATGACTCTGTATTTTCAAAAAGGAAATAGATTTCTCTTTGGCACCCTACTTAAAAAAAATCATACTCTCTCCCTTTGGAAAAAAAAATGTACCAAAAACATAAGATATGAAAAAAGGAAAAACCAGCCGTCACCCGACCCCTGAGGCTCTCTACTGTGAGCACCTTAATCTTGACAGTGGCCCTCACGGTGGACTCCGTGGCTGGCTGCCGGCCAGGGACTCTGCCCAGGGCTGCAACATCTGTATCGTCACGAGGCCTCTCTTTGGGGTGATGGAAGTGTTCTTAAATTAGATTGTGATGATGGTTGCACAGCTCTGTAAATATCCTAAGAATCATTGAATTGGGCTCTAAAACTGGGTGGATTTGAAGGTGTATAAATTAGTCTTCAACAAAGTCATTTAAGAAATTTGCAACCTCTGTTGGGCACTTGCCAGGCTGTGAGGGGCTGGTGACCAGCGTCCCCTCCTGTCCCAGGGGACAGATGCTCAGACACCAAGCCACGTGCCCTCGCGTGCTGGGTTCGTGTCCACAAGGAGGAAGGGGCCCTGCTCACCTACCAGCCAGCCACGCCACCAAGTCCCTCCGGCCCGTGCTCCATCGGCTTCTCATCCTGATCTCTGACAGCCTGGTACACAGGGGCTCAGCCGCCCTCCTGAGTTGCTTCCCTGCTCCGAATCTCAGTTTCCCCATCAGCGACACAAACCGCATTCGGCAGCCCCCTCCCAGGACTGCTGAGAGAATGCCCAGGCGCCCGGCTGGGGATGCGCCAGGCCACAGCGTGCCCATGGTGGCACCACGAGCCAGCTGGACACTTGCCACAGGCAAGGTGTCTTGTGCGTGCCAGAGGCCTGCAGACTCCCGAATTTGACGCCTGGTCAGAAAGGAACGTGCATTATTCTGCGAAGGTTTCTCTCCCCCACCTGGGTTGGTGGGCTCCTTTCCCTGGGTAAAAACCTCTTGGGCAGAGGGCAAAATTCATAAACATGGATCACACAGCAAGGAGCATGAAACGTTCACTGTGGTTACCACTGCCGTCTGCCAGGTGGCCCAAGGCCAAGGCTTGTCCCTCCTCTGCCACTCTCATCCTGGGGAAACTGAGCCTTATCAAGGTCAGGTCATGGCGGGGAAGGTGGTCAGGGCAGGCATCCCGGAGGAGGTGTGGGCTGATGGGAGACATAAAGGAGGACAACGAGGGCGTGCTGAACAGGGCATGTGATGGCATCCAGAGGGTGAGAGGGCAGGGCCCACTGTGCCCCTGTGGCCGAGGGACGGCTGCAGAAGGTGGGCCCAGGGTCCAAGGCAGGAGGTAGGAAGCCCACAGAGGGCTTCAAGCAGAGGGTGAGACTAGAAGTCATGGAATGAGCAAGGAGAGGCCAGAGAGGGGCCGTCCAGGTGCCAGGAGATAGGTGGCGTGCCTGGGTAGAGGGAGGGTAGAGGGACAGACACCAGGGAGCTGGCGCCCGGCTGGATGGGGAGGGTGGCGGAGGGGCGGCGACCGTGGCTCTCCGGGGCAGCGGAGGCGGCCAGTTAGGAGACTCTTGAGCACCCTCCAGGGCCAAGGCGCCTCTTGCCTGTTGCCTGTGGTAATTTCAAGCTGCCAGAGCTGACTTCTCCTAACAGGTCTTGTCCCTCAGCCAGATTCCTGGCCAGGCAGCGGGAGGGGACCAGAGGGAAGCAGCTGAGGGTGTGGACAGATAGGCCCCTGGTGGGTGAAGGGGCGGACCCTAGGAGGCAGGAGACCCGTGCTGGTTGCTGTCCTGCCTGAACCCACTGCGGGTCCCCCACCCTCTCTGTGCCATTTTGCCATCTGAAAGCCTAGGGTGACAGTATTTGTTCCTCTTACTAGAAAACTGTTGGTGCCCGCAAGACAGTAATCAACTCAGCCTGGGGAATGGAGGCCTGACGCGGAAGCTCAGGCTTCAGGAACTTCTCCCCACCCCATGGAGCATGGGGCCCCCAGGGGCCAGGGGGAGATGCCCAGCTGGAGCCTGTGTCCCTGAGGGCCCTGGGATTCCCCCTCAAGCCCTTCTCCAGAGCCCCCCAAGGACAGTCGTTTATGGGGCGCAGGTGGAGCTGGGCTACAAGGCTTGGGGTGTGAGCCCAGGAGGCCCCTGAGGTACAGGCTGGAGAGGGAAAAGGCAGAGTCAACCTGGGGAGAGGGGCGTCTGTCCTGCCTCCACACCGGACACTCTGAGGAACCCAGAATTCTGCCCTGAAGGCCGGGCAGGTGTTGGGAAGCTGTGCCAAGGTGCCGCCTTGGGCAGGCCCTGCACCTGGGTCTCGGGGGCGCTTGGACAGAGGCCCTGGGTCTCTGCTCCTGCCCTTGCTCTGAACCTGGCCACAAGGGCCCCAGACGCCTCTGCAGCCCTGCCCGCCATGCCCGCCTCCAGCTCCGCACCCACCCTCTGACCCAGCCAAGGCCTGGGAAACTCGATTCTCCCGGCGCCAGGATCAGATGCCATCTGCCAGGGTCACCT